AAATTTATTAAAAAATTAATCTTCATTAAAATTTATTAAAAAATTAATTTTTATTAAAATTTATTAAAAAATTAATCTTTATTAAAACTTATGATGTGATACGAAAAAAAATAGCTGACAACCACCAAATATGAATGAGTGTATTGCCACAATTCTCAAATTCATTTTATTCAATTTTTTAGCAACGATTTGTTTGCTCACACTTACAGCTTTTTTACACAAATAAGTAAGTCAGTGCATAATTAGGCAAAAATTATCCAGTTTTTAAAAAAATAAATAAAAACAAACAATAATCGTGTATATTTATTACTAAATAAATATATAAAAACTACGAATATTTTTGAAACTATCAATTAAATTGTATTAGCAAGAATTTCATGCTAGCTTAGCAATAAAATCATTGGATAATAGTTTACAACATAAATGAATAATTCATCGAAATTGACTTTTCTATTTTAAAAAATGTGCAAATTCCATACATTTTTGCAATGTCTAAGACGGATAATATAAATAAAAAATTTTGAATCAATGAATATATTATTAGAAAAAGTTCGTAACATGCAAAATACGAAACAGATGACAAGGTGATAAAAACTGTCAAGTAATGAATGACTTATTAAGACTTATTAAAAAATTAATCTTGCACATGAAAGAAGTAATAAATTAAAAGACTAATAAATTAATTAATAATTATTTTAAAAAAAATCAAAAATCTGTATTTAACATCGCAACGACATCTATTCCTGCCAGAATTTATTTGACTAAACAAAGTTATTGCATCAATAATTTTTTAATTTGTCTGTCTAATTTTTTTATTTTTTTTTAAATTTGCGAGAAATATTCAAACATTCAATTTGTCATTTTCAAATACTTTTAGAAAATAACTAAAGTTTTACTAAATGCGTGAAAAAAGAGTTCACTATCGAAGTGAAGAATTGAAATGAAATGATGGTAAGTCATGACTAAACAAATGAAATTTTTTCACTTTTGAATGATTCATTTGTAAAAAACGAATTCGAATATATGTACGTATATATATATATATATACGCACACACACGTATATATATGCACACACACGTATATATATGCACACACACGTATATATAAATATGCACACACGTATATATGTGCACACACACGTATATATATGCAGACACACGTACACGTGCAGTAACATACTCACATATCCTAACGAAGCAATCCTTCTGCAGAAGGAAAATTCGTGCTGGAAAACTGGTTTTACTAAAGAGCGCAAGAGCGCACTTTATTTACACATTTCATTAATGAGTGAATGAAATAAGCACAACTAATTGACTGATTAATTGCTTAACTACCGATTGATTATTGATTAATCATAAATGTACTTAGAAAAAGATTGAGAGCCATTTCTCGGATTAAAAGAAAAGAAAAGTTTATCTAGTCTAGACTTTGCAGAAATAACGACAGAAGATATAATAGTGGGATTGTGTAAATATTAATCTGTGATACATAATAAATTATTAATAAAAGATAGAGTAGTCAGCAATGAATGTTTATTTTTTGTAGATAACAAAATAAAGTAAGGTCAGGGGTCAATTGACCTGACCTGACCTGACCTTACGTTACAAGAAGAAGATTGTGAGTACAAGGAGCGAAGTTCAAATGAAATTAGGGGAGGAAGTGAGTAGCAGAGATTAGCGATGTAGGAGAAGAAAGAGATGAAAAATCACCAGCGCTGAAACGTTGATCATCTGCTTTCTTTCTTTTTTTGCATATTTTTGGCTTGGAAGTGGAAATGAAACATCAAGTAAGAGAAAGTTTGCCGTATTATCAGATAGCACTTTTGAAATATACTCTTTCACGGATTTGTGCCTCGCACTCTTCCAGCTAATATCACTATCATTATTACTATCATTATCATTATCATTATTACCATCACCGTCACCATTACCATCACCATTATCATTATCTTATCATTATCATTATCATTATCATTATCATTATCATTATCATCATTTTAATTTGCTCTCGTAATTACCACACTTATCATCATGATATTATCATAATAATATTTATAATCTTTTAAAATCTTTACTGTTACTATTTTTTACTATTATTGCATTATATCATCATGATATTCATTTTTTCTCATAAGCAAGATATCATCATTTTTGAATAACTGTCATTTTTTAAACAATACTATTACTCTAATAATGGAATTGTTATAGTCAAAAAAATCATAATTTTCTATAATTTTTATCATTTTATTTTCTTCGCCTATTCATCAAATTATCACTGTAAAATTTTTTACTGAAAGCAATTACTAAATGAGATCAAGGATTTAGCACAGTGATCACTTTATGCTGCTAATAATACAACAGTTGTCATCGCTAGTACTAACCGTCCTGTCTGCAGCACAAATTTTCGTTTGTCCAACAACAACAGCTCATGAATTAACGTATTATTTAGATAGGTAAGTTATGCACATACAGTTTGATATAATTCATAATATAAAGTATTAAATGCGCTCAATTTACACTTTTGTATCATGTGTTACATTCTACTTTTAGATAATCTCAACTTATTGATATTTGTGATTGAGTAACTATCATTATGATTTTTGCTGTTAAAGTTAATTTAATTAAGTTATCTGATTTGATGACTGTATTTCAGCCAGTCAGTCACTACAAAAACTAATTAAATTATGCTTACATTTATTATCTTTTATCCAAAACAGTTGGCCTTAATTATTTGCAGAAAAGCTTTTACGCAATATTAATGTCATAAAAAATTGAATAAAATTGTAATTGGTAGAAGAATTTTTTGAAAATTATACTTTATATTTCATGCAACTTGTATCTTCTTTTACCTATGGCAGGCCTCTGACAGGCCTATGACATAGTCCTGTCAAATATTTATCTGATTCATTTCACTAATAACAAACATTCGCCAAAAGTATTATGCATATCATATTAATTATATTGCTATTAAGATAAGAAAAGTTCACTTTAGGTAGATTAATTCTGTAAAAAAGTAAAACTTTTGTGGAAATAATCCTTAATAATTAGATATGCAAAGGATACACTTCAATCAGTGCATGCAAATTTTTCACTTCGGTTATTATCGAATTCGGCACACGGTGAATTAAATGCTGTCTTATCGCCATTATCACTAGCAATCACTTTATCATTGGCTAGTGCTGCAGCTGGAGGGGTCACAAGGTTACAAATGAACAATGTCTATGCTAAAGGTATTTTTGGTTACTTTTCACCTTTATATCTGAATTTTAAATGTGTAATTAAATCAACTTAAGTTGAATAATTGATAAAGAATAAAATATTTTCCATAATTGAAACATGCAGTAATATAAATTATTAAAGCTAAGGGTATTATAAATAATAAATTAGAGAAAAATAAAAAAATAATCAGTCCTACTCAAATATATCTTATGTATTAATTAAAAATAGGCTGTAGATAAACTCGAAGTTTGTATTTTATTGCTTAAACAAATTGTAAATTTCTCATAATTATAATATATAACTTTTAGCATCAAATAACTTAATAAAATCTTCAGGCTTCAGTACTGATACCGTACAAAAGTATTACTCTTTATTGGCAAACAAATTATCGTTAAAAAATAATCGTACGATAATAGCACCCAGTGTTTTAGTAGTTTTACATCTATGTGATCAGAGTAGTGTAAGTAATGCTATGTTACATATTGCACGCGATTATTTGGCTGGCGTGCATCAATTCGATTGTAAGAATAAATCCGCAAGTCTTGAGGTTATTTTTTTCCCTCCCAGCCCGCTTTCTATGCTTTATCTTTTCATCTAATTTTAAACACATAAAGTTTAAACGGAAAAAAAATACTCAAAACGTGACGTGACATAATGTGATATGATGCTAAAATAAGCAAGTAAACAGTTAAAAATTTCGAAAATTATACCAGAAAGAACACACTGAAATATTTAATAATGTCTTCTGCATTTATGTTAATATTTAAAAAATAGCTTTGTTTAAAAACATTCTCAATCAATCAATCATTATTGTTAATCAAACAAAATTTGAAATTTTAGTATATCAATCAATGGATTGCTAATCAAACAAATTCACAATTTGAAGTAATTACAAGAAATTTGCATAATGTTAACTGGCATTTCCAACTTATCGATAGCTTTTATCTAAATGCTGTATGGCACTATCCATTCGATGAAAAGCGAACAACGCTGAAGAATTTTTACGTAAATGAAAAGACCATTACACAGGTTGGCACTAATTTGCATATCACTTCACATCAATAAACAGTTGTTACCATCTTTTGTCTACAAAGTAAATAATATTAAAATGAATTGAAACAAGTAGCTTTTAGCGTTAATTTTATATGAAAATAAAATCAATTTCAAAATTAATAAACTCAGCTAATTGATGGATCTTTTAAAATAAAATCACCAAATTTTTGCTTTTGGTTAGCATCTAGATTATTAAATTAATTAAAGTGAATAAAAACTGAATGATTAATTATTGAAAAAAAATTACTCAAGGTAAAATTTGATTTAAAGGTTAAAAATTTTTTAGATTGTTTTTTGCCAGCAAAAAAATCAACAAGTTTTTCAAGTATTGGAATTTAAAATAGCACGTTAAATATGATTCATGTGTATTTTGAATAGTTTTTAATCTGATGATTTTTGCTGCTTAAAATGAAAGTAGCAAACGTTTTAGGTTGAAATGATGTCTATGTGGGCATTTAATAAATTTAAATATACAGAAGATGCTGATGTACAAGTTTTGGGTCTTCCATACCAATTAGATACCAATCTTTATCTTTACATTTTCTTACCACGAAAAAGATTTGCACTGAGAAGTGTTGAACGTGAACTAACCGGACGTCGTTTACTGTATTTAGTTGCAAGATGCAAGATGGTAGACGTCGAGGTTATTTTTTTAATGCTTACCAAAGGTTCAGTATTGGGTGAACGTAACCTTAAATTGCTATAAAAAGTATTGAGTAAACGTGTAATTGATTTCAGTATTGGGTAACCGTGTAACTTTGAACTGTTGATATAAAGATGTTAGATTTGGTTGATCATACAGTTAAAGTAAATAAATTCGAGATAATTTCTTAGACTTATTTAACAATCATTACTTAATAATATAAAACAGCAAGGAAATCAAATTGCTTCAGAATGAATAGCATCTAAAAAAGTTTTATACTGACATAATAATTTGAAAATAATAGACATATTACGTCACTTCTGAATTACTTTGCTTGCTTCACTACAAACTATCAAATGATCTTGTATATTGGATCATAATATCTCATAAATATATCAAAGTTTATTCTTATACAGCAACAACGATTGGATTTTGTCTTGGAATAATGCTAACATTATGTCCAGTTTTTCCTTGATTTGATGACTTGGTTAACTTGCTAACTTACATTTAGAAAAATATTCAGGCTCAGTTTTAGCACAGCGGCAAAGAAGTTTTAGTTCTTGCTGAAAAAGTATTAATGTTTCAATCTCAATCTTGTGAACTGTTAATTTGAATTTCTTCCTGATGAATCATGTCTCATTTCAGGTTGAAATACCTCGATTTGCGATTGAAAATTATTTTGACTTAAGTATACCACTAGCAAGTCTTGGAATTATAGAAGCATTCACTAGTAGAGCAGATTTTCCTGCTATTTCAGTGCAGAAAATGCGTGTTTCAATGATCGGACAAAAAACACAATTTGAGGTTCGTTCTTAAATAAGAGTATATCAGACTTTATTTTTCTGAACTAAAAAATTAAATCAATTAATACGACTATTTTCTAAATCCAATCAGATCATACAATTTTATTACATTACTGTATTACTGAACAGAAATTAGACATAAAACTACAGATTTTGATCGTTGAATTATCAGTAATAAATTATTAGTTAGTATTAAACTTTAGATAAATGAAAAAGGTTCATATCCAGTGAATAGCAGTTACGGTGAAATATCAAATAACGAGTTAAGAGCATTATGGCAAGGTGGACATATCAAATTTATCGCTGATCATCCATTCATGTTTGCTGTAACGCAGTGTGACCAAACTATTCTTATGGGTCACTATTCCAGCTAGCCAATGCAATGCAGCTTTAACGAAACAAATTAAACAGACTTCCTTAAAAATTATCACCCATCAATTTCACTTCCACTTCATTTCTGCTCATTTCCGTGACTACATTTTTACTCGAATACTACTCATTCGTTTAAATATTTTGATTCAAGACTTATTAATTTAATGCAATAAAAGAATTCAAATATTAAATTTGAATAAAATTAAGAAACTTTGCGCATTCAAAACATACGATTTTATCAAAAAGTCTTCATCATTCTGTCTACTACTAATCTAAACTTGTTCAAAAATACTGCACAATTAATTTAAACTTATTAATTTTAACTATCAAAATTAGACGAAAACAAGAACGATCTCATTTTAATATTTTTTATTACAACAAGTGAAAAACACTGCACACCAAATAAATTACCTGGTACATAACTATCTCACTTTCCATCTATTTATTATTAACATATATAATTCAAATTTTACTCTTTAACTCCAAACTGATTGCATTTACAATCATTAAATGTTTCACTAGTTAAAAATATGTAATCATGAATAACAGATGAACAGAAGTATTCTTCCTTCAATATAAATCATATAAGATTAGAATACATATAGAAGAATCAGTGAATAAGTCTTGCACTCATTAACATGCGACAAATTAAAATCAAAATATATTCACTCATGCATCCTTCAATCATTCATTCATTCATTCATTCATCATAAAGCCATCACTGTTCTTCTTCCTCATCGAAATACATTACATGCATCGGACAACGTTTTGAGAAATACTCATCTCCCTAAAAGGTGCAAATTTTATACTACCAAACTAGTTTGAACAAAAATCCCATTCTTAATTTTACACCTCTTAATTATCGCCAAAAATGCATTTATTACCAAATTTTGTCCAGATTTTTTTTAAGTAAATAACCTTGAAAGAGGCAATGACATTATATGGACATGAAAAAATAACATATACACAAAGCACAATGAAAATTTGAACTAAGAGAAAGAAATAAACTAAACTGAAAACTCCTTAACAGTCGTCGTAAATATACACTTACTTAACTCCCGAGAAGTCCGTTTAACATAGCTAGTCCATTCACTCATTCATAAAGGTTTCTCAGTAATCTTGAAAATCGACGATACCTATCACATTCCAAGGAAAAACTTAAGTCTCAATCAAAGAACAAGTTAATCAATAAATATAAATCAAATGACTAACTCTTGATAAGGATTAGCAGCAAATACATTATCCCCCTACGTATGTACGCGTATACATATATTAAAAACATAACTCGAATAAACTAAAACGTGAGGAAAATGAAAGCAGAAACAAATAAATGTACACATAACATAGAAAGTAGACAAAAAAAGAAGAAAAAAAAGAAAGAAATCACAGAAAATAAATGAAAACGAAATGCTCCGCAAATGAGAATGAATAAAAACTATGGCTCAAATGCTAAACCGTAATATTTACAAAAATGATTGCAATTATCAATCAAAGTATGCAAAAACAAAGTGCATTAAAGTAGATAGAGAACTAAGGTAATAAAGATTATTAGCTCAGACTTATCTACTTCAAGCATAGTTTCTAGCAAACTCACTCATCGGTTAACGCTTATCCAGCTCTAGTGCAAGTGGATCTAATAACATAGCAGTAAGCAAAAAAACACTGAAGATGTAACAAGGCAAATCTCAAACAACGTCAAATTACGAAAACTTAGATCAATTAAATACACAATACAGCAATATGTTCTACCTTTTTAAAATATTCCTACTACAGGTAAGTAATGAATAATTCATTACATAAAATGGAAAAATCCCTTTCATAAATATCAACTCATCCATCAACTAGCAAATAAGCAATGTTAGTTGCATAACCTACAAAACTAGTATACATTTCTTCTCACAAAATGCATACACACACAAAAAACAAACAAACAACAACTTATAATTTGGATACTTTTTCAATAAAGTAAGTAATCCTAGAAGCGTAGCAAAAAATCATAATGTTGTAAGTATACGTGTAAATAATTAAAGATGCGTAGTGTGATAACATTTATGACAAAATGGTTTTCGATCCACTTCTTTGAATGTGCCATTGTTAAGCTGCTTACGACAGTAAAAGCAACAAAAATGTTCTGGATGAAACTTCTGCCCCATAGCGGATACACATCGACCACTAATGGGTTTCTGGCATGTTGCACATAGACTACCACGTTTTTTATGGTAGTGGGTTTCGCACAATGGCACATTATCGTGCACATAGAATGATCCTGTCTCGAAAGGCTTTCCACACTCCTAAAATGAGCAATTAGCATGGCTAACATAGGTTCTTTTCTTCACACAAACTTTCCAGTAGTTACATTCATTTTCACTGCTATTCAACCAGCTACTTGAACATTTCACCACATTCCATCTTTAAACGATCGAACGATCGACAACAATTTTCTATGTACTGATAATGAACGTTATTCATTGTCAACTCTACCACCAGAAGCATCACCATCAGTATCAGTACCAGTATCAGTACCAGTATCAGTACCAGTATCAGTATCAGTACCAGTATCAGTATGTACCAACACCACAACCAGCAGAACCAACGAAAAGTCAGAAATAAAACTTGAGTTATTCAGTGCTACATTCAATCGTAAATCTAGTCTACTGTCACTCTTCACACATTAAATAACATTACATGCACTGCACTAAGTCAAACAAAGAATTAATTAAACTTACTGAAGCATATTTCAGCCCCTTCAAATTTTTCAAAGATGAAAGCGTTATTATACCAGAAACACAGTGACCAAATAATAAAGATGATAACAAACACTTTGCTGAATTTAATTTGAATTGATTACGAAAGAAAAAGTAAAGATAAAATTTCATGATACATTTAAAAGTAAGCATTCATATTGTTGAATATGTTACCTGACATACAAAACATTCTGGATGCCAGTGAGTGCCTAACGCTGTTATAAAATGCATTTTGATTGGTTCCTTACATCCATTACATTTTGGTGCGAACATTCGGAAAAAGTCCACTTTGCAATACGGTTGTCCATCCTTAAAATCAAAGCAGATTGATCAAAAAGTTTTCTAGCTACAAAGGTATCCTCACTCTACGAGCAAAAATAGTTCAAAATCTTTTTGGATATAACCTAAGTAATTATAAATATACACTGTAAAACAAGAATTCAGACACACAAAATAGCAGTCAAAACTGTGAGTAAATAGATAATTTCTGAAATAACACTGCAAAATTTACACGGAATTCAAAAAGACCACAGTTCCATTATAACTCACATTCAAACCTTATAAGAAATTATTTTATATCAACTAATCAATTTACCTTTTCATGGAATCCCTCATCTCCAAATTGCCTACCACATTCAGCACATACAAAATGCTCTGCATGGAACGTTTTTCCCAGAGCTGTTACACAGCGCTGCAAACAAAACAGGCTAACTTGATTATTTCTAATATAATATTTTTTATTTACATTCGTTACATAGCTTTCGTTCTTTCAACTTTTATGTAGTATCAAAAAACAAAAAATCTTGTAAAACAATACAACTAACATCTTTGATTGGTCCATTACAGTATGCACATCTAGGGGAGAACATATCATGGTAATCATTTTCACAATATGCTTTGCCTCCTCGTTCGAAAAAATTACGATGTCCCAATTCTTCGCCACACTGGCAACATACATAATGTTCCGGATGCCACATCTTACCTAGCGCTATTACGACCTGAAAAATGTGATCATATTCAGTAATCATGTAAAGCGCGAAATTTGCATATATAATCACTGTTTAATTTTTGTAATATATTTTGTTTGCAATTATTGGTAGAATTTCGACAAAAATTTGTGCGATACAACTGAAATGAATAAATAAATATCAATTCTAATTCTTTGCTTTCGTAAAGCATCACTATTTTTATATGGTCCACAAAAATATCATTACTATATACTGACAAATTTTCAATGGATGATAGAAAGTCATTATCGTATAAGCTCTAATATAATATTTTGCATCCTTTACAATCTTTTACACTAATTCTTTACAATCAAGTTTCCCCTGCTCATTTCGTTCATTCTAAAAATCACATTTTCTGCCATAAAAAACATTTCAGGAAAAAATTACAATCAAAATTTACCTCAAACTGTAAATCTTCATTTACTCCATAACAGATAAGAGGTGAATGACAAGTATTACAAGAAAATTATCACAAAAACAAAATAACCTGTCCAATAATCGGTTTATCGCAAGAAGCACAATCACCTTTGGGTATTGTACTAATGCCGTGCTTCGACATATCTTTCTGCAAAGTTCCCAACATTGAATCTAGTTGTAAAGGATCGTCTGATGATAAATTCTGCAACAAATCTCATATAGAATAAGATTATAAAAATATTACATGAAATAACTGACATATAATTGATAAAACATTCAATCACTATTTCAGATGTCATACTATGGCAGCTGTTAGTTAATATCAAAGCCTAATATGAATATATATATCGGACATTTGAAATCAACTGATTAAAAAAATTATTAAAAGAAAAAAAAAGAAGGTTCAAATGATATCGCATTAAAGGTAATATTACACTTAACAAAAAGATCACTATTACAGAATACATGAAACGTGAGACAGTACACCAGAAAGGAAGTATATTAAGCTATAAAAGATAACACCGTAAATCAATGCATAAGCAAACTACGTACCTGTCACTTAAAAGTAAGAAGAATAATGCACTGTCACTTAAAAGTAAGAATAAGAATGCACTCTAAGAATGATCTTTATTTAAAGTAAAGATAAACAATGAGTAAGTAGGAAAAACTTGTGCAATTTTTATATGCTGAAACAGTTAAGAAGAACTTACTAGTTGAAACAAGGCTTATATTCTTCTAGTATTTTAATGCACTGTAAGTTCAACAGAGTTGTCGTGTCAACTGAGTATTACTAAACGCAGATCGAACAGCAAGAGTCAATTTACAAACTACAGAAATTTATCCCTTACAGTACATCTGTCAAAAGCTTACATGATGATAAAAGCTTAAACTGGTACATTTTACTTTTTTGACTCACACACCAAAGTAATAAAGAATATGATAAAATAATGGATCGCTAAAATAAAAGTGATTATTATTAAGCAAAACAAACCTGCTCATTATCATAAGAATGTGAAGAACGACCGCCAACACTTCTGTAAGGACTGAAAGAAAACAATTAAATTCAATAATAATATTCGATCTTACAACGTTAAAGTTTCTACATACCAAAAATAACATTTTATAAACATGAGAAAATGAAAATAACGAATCATTATAAAAAAGTGGAATAATGACACAAAAACTAATCTACAGATCAGAATCCAGCGACTGTCATCTCAGGTTACACTAATCTGGCAATGCGTGTTACAAGAAATAATTTCATTTAATTCCTAACCTGTCGCTTTCAAGTTCTCTAAATAAACTCTGCACAGTAGGTCTTTCTGACTGATTCGTAGTTGAATTAGTATAACGTTCATCTGTAAAAGATACGGAACTTATTCATATCCTTGTCATTCATTATTCATAGAAATTATAACTACGTGATGACCGTACTGCAGTTCTTTGAAACAATATATCATTCTTTAATGAATAAAGAAAATTCCATTTTGAAATGAATAATATTTCCTGTCATTCAACATATAATCAAATTAGTAGTATTGGGCAAAATCAATGGAGCTATTTCTTTATGATGGAAAAAAAACCTTCAGGGCTCTTTCGTTTTTGTGAATAATCATCCAGCATTTGCTCAATACTGTCCAATCCATGGCAAGAACTGCTTAAACAAACATTCCATTATCAAGTACAAAAATCTAACTTATACAGAAATATACAAATAAATGTTGATGACAAAGTCGAAATTTATTTAAAGAGAAAAAGTTAAGTAGAACAAAAGTAGACTAAAAGTGATTGCACTAACAATCTTTCCACTGTCCCTGCATATCAAAAATTTTTGACAATTCAGAACTTGTCAAGAATTAAAGATGAACAATGATAGTAATGCATACATACCTTCTCGTTTGTTCTTCATATACAGGTTCTAAATCCTGTATACTTGATGAGTGCCGATGTTTACATTTAGCTCGTTTCAGTACCTCCGTGGTATGTTGTAAATCAGAAAGCAAAGCTTCTGAAACAGAAAATAAGTTATTTCTCACAAAATTAAATTATACAAATACTTATTTGAACTTGAAAAGTGAAATAATTGAGTTATCAAAAAAACTATAAAAATATAGAAAAATTAAAAGTCATGTAATAAAATGACCAGAACAGCAGACTACATAATATGACACAAATAATGTGCTCAAAAATTTTTTAAGAGTTACAACAAACCCAATGCTGGGGTCACTGCGTCCACAAAATTTTCTTTGCGTAATGCATACATTGAATTGTCTTTGTTCGATTAATAATCACTTATAATAGAAATAATAAAAGTAACAAAACTAAATATTAGATGAAAATCATAAATATCAGAAACACAAAAAATTCACGACAAAAATTGCCAAGTAATTATTATTTATACCTTCCATCAATTTAAATATGACAAAAAGAGGTACTTTGTTTAAAGAAGTTTATGAAACCAGTACTAACATGCAAGTTTTTCTTTGCTCTAAAAGTTCATTATCCTAAGAATCATTCAAAGGTCTTCGCTTTCTCGTTCAAGTCTATCACTGTGCAAATAGTCTAAACATACTTTTAAAAAAAAGATGTGCTCAAAACCCGTATAAAAGCAGATAAACTCAGCATTATCATACTCACTTTACCTGCTTTTATAACGTATAAAAATATGTTTTCACTTATTGGATACAACAAAAAACTTTCTTCAGCTTGTTAATTAACTTAACTTACCTACTACTAATGGTTACGAGAAAAATGCTGACAGCAAATAAAATATAAGCTTAAAATAATTGAGACAAAAATTTAGCTTCCATCACGTGCAAGTGCTAGAATTTTACGTTATGATGAAAATTCAAATGGGATCACAATTATCGAATTAAGATAACCAGTGAGTTTCACCTTGCTTCTATGAACAAAAAATATTCTGCAAGACATGCTATATAATTACTTTCTTCCTTCTTTCTCGTCTACACTCAAAAAGTTTTATCATCTCAGAATATCTCATTACATAAAATATTACAACTAAATGCTAATTAATAAAATCATAAAATCAATACAATTCCTTCTGCTTTCGAGCATTGCATACAAATTAAAATCATTTTCATTTCTTATGATTTCCAATCTACCAAATTCCACTCCAGTTCTTGATCATTACAGAATCATACATTTTCTCTTAACTCTTAACATCTTTCCTATTCAAGTGTAACTTGCATGTAAGAAATTTCCCATAGACTTTATCATTTTTTGCTAAAGAAAAACAACTCTTCCATTTTTTCCATTTCTTTTAAATCGCAATTATTAAATAATACTCATTAAAAAAATTTTATCTCTGACAAAATTATGAGTAAAAAAGATCATCAAGGATGAATTACTAATTTATTCAGTTACTAATATGACGGCTGGGAAACAGATCAGTGTGCTATCACAGAATAAGAACAAAATAAACAAAACAGTGAAATTAATTATCAACTAGTGAATACATTATCACATTAAAATAATCCTGGTAAAAACGATCAATCAGTACTAAAATTTGTCACAGCTTCATAATCCCTTCTCATTATATTCCGATAACTTATGTCAGTTGTTGTTTTTGCTGCTTTTGTTGACTACATCTTCATGATGCATCTTTGCAATTTACGTAAAATTCTATACATACATATAACAAGTGATAAATGAGCTTCCACATTTATTTTCACTCTAAAACTTTTAATCAAATTTTGTTTAGCGCAGAGTTTTATTCTTGTTGCATGTATATAAGCTTATATGCTTCTATATATATAACAATAAAAAAGTAATCCTGTGTATATGCTTCGAAAATTCTTTCTACTATTGTCAGTCAGCTACCAATTCAATGTTATCTCTAGCAATGAGCATTTTTAATTCTTCTTGCACTTCATCTATTTTTAACTGATATTGATATTGACGGTATTATAACATAGCAAGTAATGAGTACTACAAGCTTACAATGCTTTAGTGAAGAACCTCAATTACATAAGGTTTTTTAATTATAACAGATATAAGTGAAAGTTTAAATGTTGTGTTGATCTATTTTATTCACTGATCAATTCATCTTCCCTTAAATATATAGATGCAATTTAATGATCTGCAATTATAAATCTAAAAAAAATTGTAACAAATGGAGAAATAATTTTAAAAAGAAACCATTTGTATAATCGGCGAGGTCTGCCCAACTAACAGAATGATTGGCTGACTTCTTTGCTGTTGTCGACATCGATAAATCTCACTTGAATTAGTATATTTTATTTCATATTTATTTCTTACAAATAATCAGCTGTACTATACTTGATATGAAGTGATAAGAAAATACTATCAACACTGTAGGAGAAAAAAATAATCAGTAATCAAATGAGTAGTAATACTTTGAAAGAAAAACTTTGCCTAGCTTTTGTTGAGGTAGAAAGACTGATACAAAACTGACTAACTCATCCTTCACACTTCTTATATAGAAAAAGCATGAAGACGCATATTAAAATGCGTAGCGAAATGAGCACTGAGAGAAAAATAAACCCTACTGCTCAGTATTTGAAATAAAGAAAAATGAAGGCTTACATTTAAAAATATAACTCTTCTCTACTTAATGAATTAATGATCAACTAACTACTGCACGATGATTTTGATCTACTAATGCAATAGTAAAAGGGATTTCTATACTTGAAAGAGTTATATCCTCCGGCAAAATTCAATTTAATGACGATAATGATATTAATGATCATACTAAAACAATACTGATAACAATAGAAATAATCATTTTCAAGTGCAACAAGTACTATAAACAGATGCACTGGAAAGAAAGACGTATGGATGTGAAAATATTTTTAAAATTATTTTCTTTCGTTCTGAAAAAAAGATCAGAAGAATTTAGCAGAAATATTATCAAACAAAAAATGCTAAAAAGCAAATACAATATATCACTGATGTATTACTAAAATGTATTGAATTAAATTGTTCAAAAATCAAAAAAAAAAAAAACTATATAAATGTCATTTAAAATCGCATAATAACGCAGTTGTCACCCTAATCGCAACAAAAAATGTGCCATCGCTCAACCCGTATATGTGTAATTCTCAAGTAAAATATCTCATCTTATCATCAAGAAAAAATCTTCTAAATTATTTTACATGGCATTTATTTATTTACTTATTTATTTATCTCACTATTATTTGCTATATATTTTTCCATCTATCAATAAGAGAAATTGAAAGAAATTTTCAAATTACAATTGATGGCACACATATTTGATGATGGAAAAATGAAGAAATAATCTAACACTAATGTAATTCATATTTAACTGCAATACAGTTAATTAATACAAATATTAAGAGAACCATTTTTGCGAGAAATGCACTAGAAATATCATTTAAGCAAAGACTGTCAGGAAGCCATATAATAAAAACTATTATTAATAGCATAATGTCTAAATATTTCCTTTATTCTCACTAATTATTATTAATCATAACTACAGAAAGTCTCTACTAATTACACTTTTAGACACATTTATTTTCATATGCATTTTATGCTTAGAGCCCTGTTTAAGTGAAATTATTAATATGAATATAACAGAAATTATCAATTTTAAGATAACCACAAGCCTGATTTGTCTTAAAACTGTTAGAAAAATAATGTAAAAAGAGAAATCTTTTACTTTCAAACATGTACAAAAAACACCTTGAAAACCTGCCCCGCAACTTGTCTCATTCATGAGACATATTAATTCACTGAAGAGTCATATTATAAAATTATGTTCACTACTTTCATCTAACTTCTAGCTTGTTGTAAAAATACTTATGATTCTTTCAAAAAGAATCACCAAACATCACAATAAAAATAGAAATAGATATGTTATAGTAATCAGTTAGAAACGAAAACAAATCAATCTCGTTAAAAATATCAAATATAATCCTATATACATATTCTGTTATTATGATATGATCTACAATTTCTTACGGCCATCAGAAATTGCATCGAGAAATTCAGGATATACTTTAGAATTATTGATCACAACAAAATAAGAAACTATATTTTTCAAATAATCATAGCTATTTTATTTCAACATGTATATCACAAGAATTAAAAGTAGTCTTCTATGTTACACTTTTTCCTTTTCTACTTTTTTATTTTTTCGTTCCAAAAAATACTGCCAGTAAGCCAATATAGTGAAATTTTTTTGCGCAAATCATACAGAAAAAGACAAAAACCATTACTGACAACACAAAATTACTTACTACAACATACCAAGATCTTCCATCGCTTTCCAGTACTTTGGTTATGGTGAATGATCCATTGGATGAGATCCAAAATATAACATTGTTAGATACCGTTTAAACACACTGCGACTACAGGTCTCCATATGAATCTAGAAATGATGTATTACATTCAAAACAATCTTCCTGTCTTGCATATTTTGAACATCACTTACGTCAAGATGCGCAGCACTTCCAAATTTATGTAACTACAGAAACAACATCAGTTAATTTAGTATATGCCTCGTAATTCTAAAAAGTTTTTTTTTTGTTTAAATAGAAGTTAGAGAGACTTGTCATTAAAAAGAAAAAAAAAGTTGAAACTAATGTAATCCATATTTAACTGTAAAACAATTAGTTAATACAAATATTAAGCGTATTATTTTTGCAATAAATGCACCACAAATATCATTTATGCAAAGACTGCTAGGAAGCTATATAATAAAAATTATTATTAATAGCAGAAAGTAATCAAAAGATATCTACACCAAAAAACAAATTTCAACTCTCTCTTATAGCTCACAACATTTATGACGTCTACGCAAGAGAAATTTAAAATTTTTTTTACCAGCAGTACTAAAAGTTCTAACCAATTTAAATATAAGAAAGGGTCACTCTTTGCTTAAAGTGTGCTTCCACAATATGAGCAAAAATACAAGTGCTTTCTTGTATAATATCTATGTAATTACAACTGCTTACGCAAACATTTGGGAGATTACCAGCTACTAGTGATGAATAGCATCCATTCAGACGAGATTACTCGAACTTCACTTTGTATTGATTTTGAAGAAACAAAATTATACAACATTCAAAATGTTGCTCTTAAGACTTCAGACTAATCTGGTCTGAATGGGTCTACAGTAAGTGAAATGCAGGAGTTAATATAAATTTAGAAAACCTCACAGGAAAACAAAATTTGAAGAGTTCTCATCACTCTCTAAATACTAAACTTCATTATCTTGTAGCCACTATAAACCATTATTAATGGCTTGGCTATAATTATGCATTAAACTCTCAACACTTCTTCAAAACCAAAATATATTGGAAGGGATCAAAATGCTTGGACACAACGTACTATTCCAAATAAAATTCTACGCCTGACAAACTACTCAACATTCAAAAGAATTAATATTCACCTAATAAAAATCAGAGTACATTGAATACCTTACTAATATCCCTAATAATCCAATACATGGGCTTCATTACAATAGTTATACTAGCTTCATTGAAGCCTTTCAAATGAAATATAAAAATTACAATTATGACCACTGAACAGCAGTCTGCATAATTATAAAGTGCCTCAACTTTCCTAGCGCATCTATGCATTCCAGTTCAGCTCACATCTTTATTTAACTAACCATCAAAAAAAAAATAATTTAAAAAATGAATTCAAAAAATTATTGAACGCCAAGCAAGAAATGGATTGTGGAAATGAAACGTCAAGCTCACATATTTACTTATTCAAACACAAACAATCTTCCAATTATTTATATTTTTGCAACAAACACTACTGACAATGTTGAAGAAAAATAGCACAAAATTGAAATAGACAAACGTTGTAAAAATCAAGTTTATATCATTGCGGTTTATTGCAATAACTGTTCTAAAGAAAATACTGTAATAAAAAACAACCCGTAATCTATATGACCTTATCAAACGTAGATATAATTGAAGTGTTTTTTTATTTAGAATGGAAATTCACAAAGGCCTATTATGAATAATAAAGAAGTAACATAACGATTAAAATATTTTTGAATCAAACCTTCTAAAACGATTCATCTACAAAATCACAAAAACAAAAAAAGAAGCCAGGAATGAAATAGATGAGACACACAAACATACAAATCCTAGCAGGAGATGAATTACCATTCATTAATGAAGGAAATTTTCCACTAAAATGAAAATCTAAATGACTACAACTACTCAAACAGCAGCCGCTCTTTAATAGTGAAAAACCGAGCGAAATGCTTCTGATAATTGGATTTGAAAATGCTACCAAATGTCACTACAAACTTTAAAATGTATCTTTACGTTCTATATCTACATATTAAATACACGACATTAGTACTAATACAATAACAAAATAACTTCTTTTTTAAGAATTCAAAGTTTGAACAGCATATGCTAGAACAAATGAGATACAAAGAAATAAGGAAATTAAAAATTAGTGATGAACCCAACCTTCGATATTAGATAAAGAAAACTGGGATATCTTTGATGACTGCAGCAGCTAATATCTTCTAAAACCTTTTGCGTCCAAAACAATTTTAATGCTTCCATCAAAATTGATAGGTATGAAATTATTATTCAGTGTCATCAGTAGCTTAAAATTAACATCATAGCTTTTCTTTTTCCGTTCCACCTATTTTCATCCAAAATATCATAACATATAAAGCTATCAGCCTGATAAAAATTATTCAAAATTACGAAATTCTAAACACAAAAACATTCTCTTTAAAGCTAAAAACTTAGACACCAATAACTCAAAATGAAGCATATAAGTTTATGAAGATGATGTTTGATAGGATCGTTCCAATGCAGTGAGTTGATTTTTGCAAAACTGCCAAATTTGATGTAAAGAATTACGAGAGCCTTCTAAACAACACAGTCGAAGAGAGTTCTCAGTTGGCAATATAGTTAACGTGAAATAAATTAAGGGCTGCACTTCAGTATTTGACTCTACACAAGCCTGAAAATTTGAGTAATAAAAAGTGCACAAACTGCGTAAAATACAAATTAACATTTGTGACGAGTAGCGTGATTTAAAAAAAAAAAAGCTAACTTGAATAGAAACATCCCGCACATTATTGTTTTTCTCACTTCCACTCAACTCGATACATTCTGAACTACCGACATTGTTATAACTGATTTCATGAACACCGGTATTTAAATTAACCGAGCAACCAACACTGTTTTGATCGAAACAGTAACGTTTGCTCAAGGGTGAACGAACATTCACATTTCGCCCCGCTCTGCGCTTTTGTCGCTGTTGTGACCACGTATTTTTAATAGCTTTACATAAGAAGCTACCATTATCTTCTTTTACAAAGGAAACCTATAGAAATGTGAAATCACTTTCAAACCATAAAATATCTACACATTTAACATCGAATGAACCTCCATTTATCCTATGATTATACAATAAATTTATATTTTCACTGCGCATCAATAAATTTCATTGCATTATACCAGACATAAGAACAGTTTAATTTTTATTTTTAGTACTTTAGATTAAGACTAAGACTAATAATACGAAATTTCTGCTCAGTAAGATAAAAGATTATACTTCCAGAGTAGTTAATAATGCCGTTATCCAAGTAAGACATTTTTCTTTGTCTTCTAGAACTGATGGCAAGCGGAGTTTTAAAGGCGAGGAATATTTTGTTGGCTGAAAATAAACTGTACAAAACGAGTCTGAGATGGTACTTAAGCAGTCAAAATAATATACGCCGAATTTGTACTTCAACCAGTTTAATTTGAGACTCGAATGTCCATGCAAGCACCCAGCGATGAGTTTTGCCCTGACAGAGTCTCGTCACTATTGATCGTACATTCAAACAACGCCCTAATTTCTTACGTAATTCAACTAGGCTTGATTTTTTTCCGACCATTGATGAGTAGAATCTATAAAATGATTTAAACTATGTACTGAATTATTAAATAATGATATTGTTAAGGTGAACTAAAAGTACAAGCACTTACTTGACAGTATTTTGCAAAATAAAACTATCTTCAATTAAACGAGAAACGAATGCGATTTCTCCGCCCTGAAACAAAAGAATAAAAAATTTTCATTTGGTAACAAGCTACAAAAAAAGTTTTTAAAAATGCTTGAACGTCTGTAAATATTTATTTACTGAAAATTATATATAAAGTTAAATTTATCCAGTTCATCAAAATTATACCGTAACAGCCAACTCATTACTTCTAGCCACCGTAGCCGAATGAGGAGCTGGCCGATCTGAGCAACTCGAGCCCCCGATAACGTTTGTCAAAACATTCTCTTTCAAGTACCTGAACTTCTGTAAAACAAGAGATTGGCCTGTAAAATTTTTGAGACATATATACCACAAATAAGGAAGAACAATTTATACCTCTTCTGATTCACCATACTCATAAAATGGCGGATTACACATGCAAAATGTGAACTCGGCTTCTGGACGAGAAAAAACAACATCCTGAAATATTGAGAAATTTTGTTTCATTTACTTAATTATGAGAAATGTATCTGAAAAAATCTCTTCCCTTAATCATACATTCTTCTCGAACTTGAACGACTTCGATTTTTTCATTTAAGCAATTTCTTTCTACGTTTCTACTAGCCACCTGAAAATTACAAAACGTCAGTGGTAAAACACGCATAAAAATCAGTTTAATTTGATCAACAAAGCTTAGTACCTCTACGGCAAAAGGATCACTATCAGTAGCCAGAAATTTCCAGTTGTATTGCTTCGCACCTAGAAGTGCGTACACACATGATGCACCAGTTCCTGAATCAATTATTAATAGATTTTAGCAAACAAATAATATTAAGTACAATTTGATGTTACTTTATGTTTTTATCAGATATTATTGCACTGAGCTAGAAAAAATTTTTCGAAAAAAAAGTTAGAATGTCGAGTAAAAACGTCAGAATATTCTCTTATATATATATAATTGATTGGAATAAAGCACACCAAATGCAAATTCGAAGATAGAGACTTAATCAAATCTTGAAATATAGTTCTTAATATTGTGAATGCAAATGTAATAAATATCTGATCAAAACTAAAAATGAAAACTATAAGTATTAATGTTTTCATTAACAAAATATCATGTTTTGTTTTGTCGAAAAATGAGAGAAAAATATACCAATATCGATGCCAAGAGCATCTTTCGAAATTCCATTTATTTTGAGTAGATCATCGATGAAAAGTAAGTAATTCAGACGTTGAGGTATACGTGGTACAAGACAATCCACAGGAATCTCAACGTCTAAATCGAAATCACTCAGCAGCAAAGTTCGAGCTAAAGCCCGGACAGCACTTGAATCACGGAAATCAATTCTTAACTGAAATTGATGATAGAATCAAGAAGAAGGAACAGTACCAATGTTTGAAGCTAAATTTAGCACGAAATATGCACAACAATCAAGTAAGTTAAGAAGATGTCTTTGTTTTTTTTTTTAATATGAGAGCCACTGAATATAATGATAAAACAAACCTTTCCATTAGAACCAATATGGCACCGAGATCGGAATTCCACGTATTTATTGGCAAGTGAGTTAAAGTCTGGAGGTTTATCTTTGTATGGATTTCTGGGATGCATAACTCAACTGTATTAAACACAAACTGATAGTAATTGTTGGCACTACCTGAAAAACCTCACATATTTTACAATTATTTAAAACAGAGAAATTATTATTTCCTTTTGACCAATACTTTCTATAAGCAAAGTTGACTGGTACATTGAAATTATTATTATTATACTTCAAAAAAAAACTGCGGAAACTTTTTTATTCAATGATGAGATTAAACAGCTTTTTACTATTGCTGTAATAACATAACCTAGTAAAGACTGAACAGGGGATTCACAGCAGCTGAAGATGAGTTATTCAGTCGGAAAAAAAGTTTCTAATTTAATAAGTTTCTAATCTAATGAGTTTTGCCAATAAAAAAGCAAACGAATAAATAGCACCAACACCACCGGTACAAGAATCACAACATATCCTCACGAATATATTATTATATCATCTATTATTATTATATATATAGTGGAAAAATTTTATACCCATTGTGCAACAGTTACTATCTCAGCAATATGCACCGGAAAAAACAAAAAAAATAATCGAGAATATATGAATAAACATACATATATATGTATATAGTGTATTGATTGTGGCTGCAGTGGAAGTATCTACTTTTTGTCAGTCTGAAATATAGCATATGCAGAACAAAGTTTGACTAAGTTAATGACGTGAAAGTCATAAATAAATACGTGTATTTTTATTAGCTTATCAAATCAATATCATAATCAAAATCGTGCGGAGGTTAATCTTTTTTTCTGCAATCAATAATTCGTAGTTATTATTTAGAAATAACTGTATTGTTTAGAATCGTGTTCATAAAATGTGTTTGCATGAAATTTCACTACAAAAGCTAAAGAGAGAATTTAAAAATAAACATATGCACCAATAATATAGCAAAATTTACATATAACTAAGGTTACGTCGCATTAACGTGAAGAGTAGAATGTATGTAACAGATGATAAATAAGTAGCAAAATTACACATTTTTTCATTATAAAATGAGATGATCAGTCTGCTGCAACTTTTTCTGCTTTGTAGTACAGTTTGTTTACTTTTAATGAGAAATGAAGATGCGATTAATTTCAGTTATTTGCTTTCTTCTTGAGAATTCTCAAACCTGAGATACTTGATGTGTTTCTGAGAATTCGCAATGAAGAAGAAAAGTTTGCGACATTTTTCGATGCTAAATTTAAATTTATCTTTGTCACCGAATTGCCAAGAAATTTTCCTTAATTATTTCTAGTTCCTGTACTGAACTTTGAATTAAAAAGACTTATAAAATTAAGAATAGAAATTAAATATAAATTTAAATTAACTTTGATTTATGTATTGTTTCAAACTATTAGGTTAGTTTTCCTTTCTATCGCATTATTAAAATTAGTATTTTATTTAAAATTTTGAATGTATCTGAAAAAACTTATATTAAATTTTTAATCGATTCAACTGATAATAATCAATTTAAGGCCTTTTTACAAGTGATTTGCATGGATTTGAATTTCAAGCAAAGCGGAAGAGAACAAAGACATTTTCGGAAAGTATGCATTACTTTGGATTATTGATTTAAAAAATCTAATAAAATTACTAAATATTATTTTTGGAACATTTTTCTTTGATATAATGAAGATTTTTTGGTATATCGATGTTCTTTATTATAGGATTAAGTAATAGCATATCACTGATGAGAAAATTCCATAGCCTACCAAAAATACCGTATATACCGCCAGCCAAACATCGGAAACAGCATACTGGTGATCTTGAGACGAACTTCGACCCTTGTAAAATAATGCAATTTTGCCAAAATGGTGGTACTTGTGTATCGAAAAAAGGATCGTAAGTTTGGTGCTTTTCAAAATAAAATCAACACAATTCAATCATTGATACCGTAAACAAATATGCATACATGTAGCGATAAATTATTGCTCTAATTTCAGTTATTACTGTCAATGTCTACCAACTCATTACGGGAAAACGTGTGAATTTGTGGCTGATCAAACGTATTGCGAAAACAATATGTGTCAAAATGACGCAACTTGTTACAGGCAAATTTAACGTGACAGCATAAAGTACTATCAAAAATGGCTACTTTTCAAAACATCACTATTATATTACATAATAATTGTGATTACCACTATATTAAGCAGTCATATAATAATAATAATAATGATAATAATAACAATAACAATAATAATGATAATAATGATAATAATGATAATATAATAATAATAATAATAATAGTAATAATAATAATAATAATAATAACATAAATGATAATAATAATAATAATAATAATAATAATAATAATAATAATAATAATAAATGAGAACAACGAGCATACTTCAGGAATAGCGTGACATCTTTATGTTTAAATAAAAATTTGCATAGACCGTACTGATAAACAATATTACTTACAGTATTCAACAGAAACGCCAAATAATAACGACTTTAAATATGAAGAAAAATGAAAAAATTGCAGCAGTAAATACAGAATTCAGTGATACAAAAGTGGTACAATGGGTTCAGTATGAGTATGTCTTACGTCCTTCATTAAACCTATTATAAACATTAGCTATTATAAATTTTTTGGGTCACAAATATAAATTTGTTTTGCACAATTTTAGGTGCTGGTGTAAACAAGGTTTCACTGGATCATTATGTGAATATTCAGAAGAGCTACGCCAATGTGAAGAAGAATACTGCTTGCATAAAGGGATCGGAAGATTAATCAAGTCCTCCAATAATACCACAAAATGTGAATGTGAATGTCAAAAATATCATGCTGGAAAACGAGTAAGCAGCCAGAGAATCTGTAAAAACCCTTTATGAAAATTACCAAAATTATTATTTCTGTTCTTTGCATATTATAAATTTTGTAAATTGTTCTTAGGAATATAATTTTTAGAAATAACATATCAGCTTTTCAGTAATGCACTGTACTGTACTGATACCAGCTACTGAGTTACTGATAAGTTACTCTTGATTAGTGATTTTTTGCCACAAAATATTACATAAACAACAGCGAAATGACCTTGAAGACACTAGATTCAGTACAAAATTATTTTCATGAGTGATGGATAATTTTTGATTATTATACTGTAAATTCATACTGATTCACAACTTTAATGACTGTCTTCAAAATATTGTCTATAAATTAAACATAATCAAAATTACAAACACGAAAACTATATATATATATATATATATATATATATATATATATATATAT